CCAGCCATAAATTAGAGTTACCACCGAATACTCCATTTTTTATAACCCCGGAATAAATTAGGGGAGGACATAAAACGATGACTTAATGGCGTTGTCTCACCATTTTGAGCGCCCTTTCTCGGGTTTATCTTTTTAAAATAATATATTTTGGGCTAATGGTTTGCCAGGTGGGAGTGTTTCTATCCTTGGTGCTGAACCATATCCTTTTTAACTCGCTGTTAGTTCCGAGAACATAATTGAAAAACAGATGTTGTATTTTGTTATTGAATCAACCAACAAATATACTTTAAAAAGTTAACATATTTCATAATTCATCTTTGAAGCTCATGTTTAGATTGAAAACATAATCACCTGTAGTTTATAGCAAATAACGCCAGTTTTACAGTGAAAGTCATTTTTCACTGGGTATAACCTTCATCTTAATTGTTTCACCTGCCTTTTTTGCAATTGCCTTTAGGACTTTTGAAATACATAGATGTTTACAACGTGACTGTCTCATTAAGAATGTAGTTATCAAAAATGTCCACATGGAGACACTCTAGACCAGCACATTTGGACGGGTTCGCTTGTAGCTTTGGGATCCTCCCAGATTCCGCTGACGATAAATCACTGGGCTTTGTTAAGAAGAGAGGTTGGACGACAAAGAGCGGTGTTCTGGTCTGTTAATGTCGAGACTTTTCAATGGAATATTTCACATTTAATCCTAATTTTCGTGGTTTTTCCGATTATTTCCATATTTTCTAGATGCCCCTTCTCTTTATACGGGATAATGCATTTGCTGAGCAGAACGGGCTCTATGTGGATTTATCTCTTGTTCCAGCTGCTGGATTGTTACTGGGAAACGGTATCTGGGCAGCTCTCGTACTCCGTCTCAGAGGAGGTAAATCTGGGGACTATTGTCGGAAATATCGCTAAAGATTTGAGCATCAATGTTCAGGATTTGGAGACCCGAATGTTTCAGATCGTTGCTGGATCAAGGAGGAAATATCTCGAGGTAAATCTAAAGACCGGTGTCCTGTATGTTAATGAGAGAATAGATCGAGAGGAACTCTGCACTTACGAGCCTAAATGTTCTATCAGAGTAGAAGCAGTTATTAACAACCCATTAAAACTGTACAGAATCGAAATTAATATCTTAGATGTTAATGATAATTCCCCATCTTTTCGAATTACGTCACAGGTAGTTAACATTACAGAGAGTACATTAGCAGGGGCTAAATTTCCTCTGCACTCCGCGGACGATGCCGACGTCGGTAAAAATGCAGTAAATGCCTACAAGCTGAGCCCAAACGAAC